AAATGGCCTGGTCAGGAAAGGAGGAAAACCTGCTGGGGCTGAAGTGGCTAGAGAAGCTACATTGGAGATTTGTTTCTGTTCTGTTTCTCAGAGTGCAGAGGATCTTTAGAGGTCTGAGGGTCAGACTGATGCCAACACAGAGGAATATAAAAATATGAAGAGGTAGATTTAATAAAACTGGAGAGTGCAAAATCTAGTGCAGATGTGCATGGTAGCCAATCAGCTTCTAACTTCAGCTTGTTCAGTTAAGCGTTGGCAAAAAACCCTGGAATCTGATTGGTTTCTATGCAGAGTTGCACCAGATTTTGCACTCTCCGGTTTTAGTAAATAACCCTCAAAGTACCATCACCCACATCCTGAACAAATGTTCTTTTGATTTGATCATGTTAACAAAGACACATACCAAGAAGGAGTTGTTAACATTGTCTGAGCAGATGACCCAGGTTGGGAGAGATCTACAGACAGCCATTTCAGCAGAGGACTTTTCAGCTACAAAATAAAGGATTGATAAAGACATACTCACCAGTCAGAGTGAGTGGGAATGCAAGAACCATGTAACATTTGATTGTAATGCCAAGGAATACAGTTGGCAACAAGTCTACAGAATGTCACATATTCCTGTAAGACAAGGCCAGATGGGAAGAATACGAGCACTAAAAGAGACAACATCCCACTCTGTCTCCATCCCCAAGGTAAAGTCAGCTCTCACAAACAAGGTCACTTCATCCTCTTCACAATAAAAGTCAACAAGACAAGACCCACATACAAAAAGAAATAAAAACATCAAATACACCATTCCAAATTACACCAAGTTTTTAGAGGGGTGAACAAGAGGATTATGATTCTTCTACAGGCAATAGAACACAAGATCCAAGGAACACAACAGACATCTTCACAACCAGAAAATTACTTTTTCATGCTTGGTAATTGATTCATTTCAACAGAATCTGCATTGAAAACCAAGACTTGCCATAAAATTACTGCTGCCGTTACAAGTGTTTGCCCATTTGAAGCTTTGAACAAGTACACAAGCCATATCAATACATATGATTAGGATTGAGAAGAAAGACTTTAGAGCAATTATTAATATTCTTAAGTTGCAATTATGTTATTAAACATGATTTATTTGTTTCAATTATCTAGGAAAGTTAGTGGTGGTTGTCCAAAAAAGAAAATTGGATACAATGAATATGAGGAGCTGCTATGACCATAAATTGATCTACACTCCATTGTTGGCATAAAATGCCTATTTGCACTTTATTATTGCAGGTTACCAATTCTTATAAGTGGTGACCATGTAAATTTCTTTTCAACTGTTGCGCAGTTGTAGCAACAGTTAGAGGTTTGAGGAAAAACCATTTACCACTGACAGTGGAGCTTACAATGATCTGATTTTATTTATTGATGAAAAACTTTTATCCCAAAAGAGAAACAAACTATTGCTGTAACTGCTTGTGTAACTGCAGGGTCAGCTGGAGTTTGGCTTCATTTTGTTAGTGTATCTTAATTTGCAAGTACATCTAACACTCATCTTGCCCAGACTGACAATACTGCAAAAAAGAAAATTAATGCAGCCACCAAACACAGTTAAGGATTGGAAAACTGCAGTTTAGTACCTTTTTGGTTTTGGGTTTAATACTGTTTACATTTTACCTCTTATAGTTAGATGTTTGCCTAATGTGATTTTATATACTGTGTGCGTGTGTTTGCCTAATCTTTTCTTAGATAGGCACATGGGTCTGGTAAGTGCATTTGGTGAAGCACTTTTTGGTTTAACAATTCAAGCACCTGGAAAGAAGCGCTTGGTGGAGAAGATTTTCAAATATTACTCAATTAGACTTTTTTTATTGCTTTGGAATCTTGTTGAATTTCTGTAAATATATATCTTCACATGTTGATTTTGTGTTATGCACATTTATTTGACGAGCAGATGGTGTTTTCAATAATTTGATTATAAACTATTTGTTTTTCAGCTCTGTATTTTGTCTAGTTGATATTCACTTTAATGTTTTATCATGATTGTTCAACATGATTTTTGTAAGGAAATATAAGTATTATTGCCCTTTCCCTTTTTTCATAGCAGTTGAGTTACAACATTTTTATATATTACATGCAGAGCTGTTGTTAGAACACATGACCCTGTACAGCCTACCTGACAGCACCCCCCCCTCCCCTATTTTTATTTTATTTGCTAAAAATATAAAAAATACATCAAAATCATTATTAGTTGATGCAAAACTTACAAAATCCCCACAAAGGCTAACAGAAAAAACTGTTTCAAGTTAATAACTAAAGCTCAGTGTGTGAATGCGGTCTTAGGGTTCATTCACATGGGTGCTGTGGCCTGTATAGTGTGAATCCCTATGTGGAGCTTCATGTACACAACCTATGTTTCGCTATGGGGACGCAGTGGCTGTACGAACACAGCTGCAGATCCAAATCTGGATGTGTGATTGCAAAATGGCATTGGGCAGAACTGAATTGCTTGAGGTCGGTTGGACTGGCAGCTCCTTATGTAGTTTCTTGTGGATGTGAGTGCTGGTACGTACCCCTGTTGGAGCAGAGAAGTACAATTTATTTTAATTTTATATAGAGGCAAAGGTTATCCCTGTAGGATTATGGGTACAGGTGTTCCTGACTGATCAGAAACACCCTGGAAGGTCTCAAAGACAAGTGGGAACAAAACTTGACCACTTGTTCCCTTAACATGCTACAAGTTCTTAAACAATATTAAGACATGGAATAACTTGGATAAGGATATACGATTTGTTTCCAATAAACTGGCCACATTTTAACAATCTACCATAAATCAAACACAAGATAAAGAATTCCAGCATTTTATTAATGGCCATAATAAACAACTTATACAAAATAAAGGAAATTTTCCTGTGGCTCTCTAGCCTTTAAAATGAGTCAGGCATATAAATGGAACCATACAAGGCCTGGAAGTAGGATATCTCTATCTAAAAGAAAAATTGATCAAAAAGGTGATGTTGATTTATCTGATGCTTCTGTTTCTTCCCCCCTTTTCATGATCAGGTGATGGGAAAGCCACATGGTGAGCACCAGTCTCCCACTGACAAATGTTTGCACCAAATAGGAGGAAAACACCTTCTTCTGATGTACTGTAGATAACCAGACATGCACATTAGCTGATAGTGGTAATGTTATACACTTGACAGATACAACCTCACAGGATACTGGCACTATTCCTAAACAAAGTACGCACCTTTTAGAATTTCAGTGCACTCCCAATGTCAAAGTATGAAATTCCAGCTCCTAACACTGGGGAAATATGACAGCCAGTCTGGATAAATATCTGTTCTGGACCACTTACTGTAGATACACATCACACATTTGATATCATTATTTAACTTTGGCTGTTTTCTCAACCAAGGAATTAGCCATTTTTAAAGTTTTGCCCCTCTTGAAATCTGGACCACTTTGAATACACCAAGGATCTTTATTTGTCTGAATTTCAAATCATATTGAGAAACAGAGAATTAAATCAATGGGATTACCGTTGGATGGACTTCTCTCCACCTGGCAGGATTTTTCTCATGTAGACTACAAGGCACTTATGACACTCACGAAAATAGAAAGTGACGGGCAGGTCTGGCACAACCCCCAAGTTATGTTGCAAGATTTTCATGAATCCCAGTGAATGTCTGAGATACCTGATCACCTCAGAAGTACAAAAATAAATCTTCTAAATTCCCACATTTCTCCAATTCACATTTGTAGCTCTTTATTAAACAGGTTACTACAGAGGTTAAACTAATCTCTATTAAATCAAAATATTTCAACCTTACATAAGCTCAACAAGAGGCATTGCGTAGTATACAAACTAAAGAAGGAATTGTCATTAAACCTTTTAATAAAGGGGGGAATATGGTAATCATGTCAGAGTGTATTCATATAAGTCTGGTGCATATAACAATTTCATAATTGAGCTGCTAAATTTCATCTTGACCCATAATACATTTACTTTTAATGGCTCCCACTACCTCTAGGTGCAAGATGTGGCAATGGGGATGACATGTGCCCCATCGTGCACAAACCTTTACCTGGGGGATGGTAGTGGTCAGTATTTTCATCTGAGGCCTTTTCGAGTTAACTGCACCATATAATGTTATGGCATGGGTATATGGATGACATCCTCATTTTTTGGACTGGTAGTAGCCAATCTTTGGTTGAGTTAATTGTTCAGCTGAACATAAATCAATTCAATCTTACCTTCACTCTGACCCAGCATACCCATTCCCAATCCCTCCCTTTTTTGGTAAATTTATTGCTAATACACCTCACATTATATTTCAAAGAAATCAGTCCTTACAGGATATTTTGGTTTCTAGTCATTTTTCAACCCATAGAGGCATCGATCCCTTTACTCCGACGGGGACCTTTTGATGTGGCCAATGTCATTATTGTTGTTGATGAAAGAAAGGTGATAAGCTTCCTAATCAGAGAATCTATGAATGTAAACACTTTGTTAATTGTGAGACCACTGGAGTAGTCTGTTTGCTCACATGTGGCTGAAGATCATTTTACTTTGGTAAAACAAAACACAGTTTTTGGAAATGCATTATGATGTGAATGTACAATATATATGTAAAGTGCTGCATAAATTGACGGAGCTATATAAGTATCTGTAATAAATAATAAATAAATGCTACACCTCTATGATAAGTAAATCATGTAAAAAAGAGCTGTGCTTATCCTTTCAGCATTTTAGTGAGAAAAAAAATATATTGAAATACATTTGTAACATGAAAATATCCATGTATGTCCACCAAAAGTGACAATCATAAATCTCATGAATATAAAATAGTGCACAAAAGTGCAAATGTCCAATAGTGTCTGTGTGCTGTAGCTACACAAATAATGACACCTTTAACCACCTCCCGCCTGCCATATAGTAATATGACAGACGCAAGGCGGTTCTCTCGTTCTGGGAGGACGTCATATGACGTCCTCCCATTCTCACCGCACATGCACGGCTCAGGGAGCGCGCAGCGTGGCGATCGGCAGTGCGCTGTGTCCCTCGGACACAGCGGATCACCGATCACGGAAAGAGCCGAAGATGTCGGCTCAGTCATGTGATCAGCTGTGTCCAATCACAGCTGATCACATGTAAACAGGGAAATGCCGGTTATCGGCATTTCTCTCCTCTCGAGCTGTCACACTGACAGCTCATGAGGAGAGGAGTGCCGGTAATCGGCTTTCCGCGGAGGGGACATTTACACTGATCATCAGGGCACTGATGATCAGTGTGCCCTGATGATCAGTGTAGCCCCAGCAGTGCCACCTGTCAGTGGCCATCAGTGCCTTGTGTCAGTGCTAATCAGTGCCTCATGCCAGTGCCCATCAGTGCCACATCAATGCCACATATCAGTGCCTACCAGTGCACATCAATGCCACATATCAGTGCCCATCTGAGCTGCCTTTCAGTGTCACCCATCAGTGCCAGTCAGTGCCACCTATCAATGCCAATCAGTGCCACCTATCAGTGCTGCCAATCAGTGCTACCTATCAGTGCCTGTCAGTGCCGCCTATCAGTGCCAGTCAGTGTCGCTTAACAGTGGCAGTCAGTGCTGCCTCACAGTGCCAGTCAGTGACGCCTATCAGAGACAGTCAGTGCCGCCTATCAGTGCCATATATCAGTGCCATGTATCAGTTCTGCCTTTCAGTGCCCATCAGTGATGCCTGTCAATGCCCATCAGTGCCACCTGCCAGTGCCTCCTCATCAGTGCCACCTATCAGTGTCCATCAGTGCAGCCTATCAGTGCCCATAACTTCAACCTCATTAGCGCACATCAGTGAAGGAGAAAAATCACTTATTTACAAAATGTTATAACAAAAACTAAGAAAAAATGTTTTTTTTTTCAAAATTTTCAGTGGTTTTTGGTTTGTTTAAGAAAAAAAAAAAAAACCCAGAGGTGATTAAATACCACCCAAAATAAAGCTCTATCTGTCACAAAAAAATGATAAAAATTTCATATGGGTACAGTGTTGCATGAGCGTGCAATTGTCACTCAAAATGCGACAGCGCTAGAAAGCTGAAAATTGGCCTGGGCAGGAAGGGGGTATAAGTGCCCTGTAGGCTAGTGGTTAAATGAAAGTGATCTTGATCATATTAAACTCCTACACAACAATCCACCAGTTTGAGCCCCAACCAGGCTTTGCACCAGCCGGAGTTGATGACCTGAGTATACACTAGGTGGGTCACCAAGGCTTTATACTACTGCTCTCATGTATGGTGTCACCATCCAGGAACTTTCAGTCCTTGATTGTGGTAGATGTGTATGTTTTTGTTTTTCAAGCTATACACATTTTCTTGAAATTAGTTTCTTTGTTTCCTGAATGCATACATTTCCAAACATGATACAGCAGAAAGGGGTTTTAAAAGGCAGCAGTGTTAAAATGGTTACAATAGATTAGGGAAGTGGTATCTTTGTCTCAGCCTTGTGAGTCATACATAAAACTGAGACATCTGTGCTTCTCTTAGGGATATACTTTCAAAAATAGTATAGTTATCCGTGCAGTGCATTAGGGTTTATTCTTGCTGGATGATTTAACATGTATTATGTAACATTAAGGCACATTTCACACCCCTGATAGTCACAGTTGTAACCTTCATCTGTCAATAGACATTAATGACTATATGCCGCTGTACTTGTTTATACCACACTCATTTGGTAAAGAAACACATGCGTAAGGTCATTTGTTATCTGGGATGCATAAACTGGGCAGCCAAGATTGTACATCCACATGCATGTGGTGTAGTTACAAATTCAGCTGTATAGGCATCAAATGTGGTTGCTGGTGGGGAGAAAAATAATCATTTATCATAACAATAATGATACCATAACACCAGGTGTGTTTCCATAGCCCCATCTGGAAATTGGGAATAATCCTCTTATGTTGTGATATGTAATGGAATAAGACATGTTAACACCTTCTGTTTTAAGATGGCTCTATCTGTTCATAAAATATACAGTATGTCTGCAGATGTCTATTCAACCACATTTCAGTCTTTTCTCCACACAAAAGAGGATGACAAGCCATACTTCTGTGTATGGTGAGGATGTCAGAAAAGGTGAATACGAGCTGTCACAGGTCCCCAGCCCCGAGCTCCGCACACCGGTTCTCCTTCCCCCTGCAGCACACACTCCCCAATCTCTGCTCATCATCCAACCATTGCGCTCTCCTTTGTCTGTGCGATTGGAGGAGGAGTAGGGCCAAGACACTTGGCTGTTGGATGCCCACATTGGACAACCCTGCCACATCCCAGCGGCACAGTGGGGGCCATTGGAGAGGAGAGTATTTGGCCATATCCGTGAAGGGACATCTGAGCCATTACTGCTGGTACGCTTATGAGTGCTTACCATCTCCACCATAGAAGATTGCCCTGACTATTATTGGGGGGGATACACAAAGATATCATCATTTGCCTGCAATCAAAATCCTTATGACCCCTTGTGGGCCGCAGCCTGGATGTGTGAGGGCGCACATTAGCTGGTCTAGGATTTGTGGTTCTTTTGCAGTGGTCACTGGATATTTCATGGCCTTTGTTGAAGACACACAGATTCATTGGGACTGCACACTTTATAGTGGCACTTCACATTTATTTATATATTTTTATGTACCATTGATCACCTTATTTGGTCACAAATTTATTTGTTCAATATTGTCACTTTTATGTACACTTTGTGAGTTTAGTTTCATGTGCATTAAGTGATTTGTTTCTACAATATTCTTGTCCACTTAGTATTTGGTCATGTATTTATATTTATATTGTTTTTGCTATATGAGTTTTATTTCACACTGTGCGGGTGTATTTATAATTATTTATTTTTATTGAGTAGCGCAGCAACAGTCAGTCATCATTTTTTTCTATTGGGAATATAGATAAGTGCCTGTGGCCACTGGGGGGGGGGGGGGGGGGGGGGGGGGGGGGGGGGGTTCTAGGGTTTTTGGCAGCGTTTTCTACTGAAATCCCTAAGTGGCCCTCGCTCTTCAAAAGGTTGAGCACCCCTCTTCTAGAGAATAAAATGGTGGGTGCTGCCTTTTTTTATGTCATGTTGTATTTGCACAGCAGTTTTTCAAACACAAATATTTTGGAAAAAAATACACTTTAATGAATTTTAGCACACAAAAACACAAAATAATACCCACTTATTTGGTAAGATATAAAAGATAATGTGCTGAGTAAATACATTCCAAACATGTCAGGTTAAATTGTGGTACATTAAATTGTCTATAGGTGACTTTTTTAAAAGCCTTTACAGGTTACCACTTTAGATTTACACAGGAGTTCTGGTGCTAGAATTATTGCTCTTACTCTGACATTTGAGGTCAAACTTCACACGTGTGTTGCAATAGCTGTTTAGGCGTGCATGCATTTTTTAAATTTTATTATTTATTTTTATTATTATATATTATCATTACAGGTTATCACTTTAGATTTACACAGTAGTTCTGGTGCTAGAATTATTGCTCTTACTCTGACATTTGAGGTCAAACTTCACACGTGTGTTGCAATAGCTGTTTTTTTGTATCACCTTTATTGCTATCACAAGGGATGAAACAACATCCCTTGTGATAGCATAGGCCATCAGAAATTTTGTTGACGGTGCATTTGGTGCATGAGAAATCTGTGGCTGTGTTCACATAACAATTTGTTCTTAATATTTCCTGGCAGTTTTTACCTCACATGGAATCATACGTCATGCCTTCTTGAGCACTTCTGAAGAGGAGATTTTTGTTGATCTCGAAACGTGTCAAGTGCAAACCATGCATGATCCATGATTAGATTTGCAATACCATCTCTGAAGACACTGCCGCAATATGTATTGTAGCTTTATATTTATTTTTTCATACTGTTTTTATAAAAAATCTCTTTTGAATTGTTGAAATTTATCATACAAGTAATTTGTGCCGTTAAAGTCCCACCAAAAAAGAGGACTTTTTCCCCCTTGTATTCGTTAGGGATGTTGGCACTTTGTGTATTATATCCCTTCCTCTCTCTATTGATGTAATCCTAAAGTCTTAGAACATAACCTTCTTGCTCCCTGCTTTTGTGCTCAAAAATAAATGAACCTAAAAAAAAATTTCCTAAAGAAGCATTAGGATGACAATACAATATATAACTATCTGAACTCCATCTACCTAATTGTTTTCATTATACTGGTATCTAACCCAAATATAGATGCCTCTGTAGCTGCCACTGTCCAGAAGGAATGAGAAGATAACTGAATATGTTCTAAAATTTTGTGGTTTTTGACATTTTCTTAAGACACTGCTAAACTGAAACTTTTTAGTTAAAAAAGAAGGTTACTGTTGGTAGGTCTGGCTTTGAGATATTATTTTATCTGACAACAGGAAACAGAGCAAATTTTAGAACCAAAATAGGTATTTACACTAAGCCATGCATCTTTACCTAATTAGTAATCTGTCGATTGCCTTATAAAAACTCATATTTAACTTTTTTCAACAATAACCTCATTGCGCCTAAAACTGGCCATGCCACCATGCTTTATCACTAACATGGGTCTCTATATAATGTGTCCTCAGTTCTGAAAGTCTCCGAATTTAACTCTTTTATGGTCATCCTGTAATTGTGCACTCTTGTTTTTTTCAATTTCATCTGTATCTTGATAAAAAATAGGAAAAACAAAGATTATACATACAACTGGCCATACACTAGTAGAATTTTGTTTGAAAATTTTAATTCTAGGAATGCCTGATTTTCTAATGGTTTGCAGGGTCAAATTGATGTTCGTAGTGTCAAGCAGGATGGAAATTGTTTCTCAGAAGAACAATTTTCTTATAGTGAATTTGGTTTTCCTTTGAGATATCCATTTACTTCAAAATCAAATGTTAAAAATAAACATTTTTTAAGTACTTTTGAATGATATTCAACAAGTCACTCCAAAGACATGCTGGTAGGTTAATTGGATGCTGTCTAAATTGTCCCTAGTATGTGTATGTATGAATGTAAGTTAGGGACCTTAGATTGTACACTCCTTGAGGGTTAGGGACTGATGTGAATGTACAATATATATGTAATGCGCTGCGTAAATTGATGGCGCTATATAAGTACCTGTAATAAATAAATAATAAAATAAGTTATCAAATGCATTGATGAGAATATACATACAAATGTTTATACAAATGTCTGTTTGAAAATTCTTCTAGTGTATGGCCAACTTAAGTCCAGATCCATCATCCTTATTGGCAGATACTAGCTCGGAGATCTGTAGCACTGCAAAGAATGCTAATGAAAAACCTGCCCTGTATAATATAGCTTCAAAAGAAGAAAAACAAGCAGAGCTTGTGACATGACATAGTTTTGAAAGGATGTCAGCTTCCTTCTTTCAACCTTTTAATTTCTTTTTTTTCACTCTTCAAAGCCTACTTAACTGAGAGGAAACAAGTACATGCCGGCAGATTACTCAACTTTAGAAAAAAAGTAAATGCCGGAAATGGTTTTATTAACTAAACTTTACTCATGAAAAAGCTCAGAAACAAAAAAAAAGTTTTCAGAAAAAACAAATTACTTGTTGACATAGTAGTTAAAAAAACAGCAACAAAAACAAGGCTGATATGTATCCAGCCCAAGTAGCTAAAATTATTTAATATTATCAGAAATTATATTTAAATTAATTACCATAAATGTTGAGGACATGCTACTCCCAATGGTTTTGCATCCAGTATCAAAGCATGGAAAAGTTCCATCTAAAATTGATAAATAGGGTCTACCAACTCGTTACCTGTGCCTGGAATATGCTTTGCATTTATCCAGATGCTCAGACTGACATTTGTAATCCAAATATCTGAGTAGAATAA